ACTAAATAAAAGGATGATTATCAAGAATGGAGACACCCGCAGTACAACAGTTAGAGAATTTCTTCAAAAACATACTGATAAATATCAGAATATTTTGTGTTAGCATTTCGAATGATTGACGGAGGTATTTTAGTTTTTTTTGACGAGAAACATAACAGTAGAAATCAATAATTATGGGTTTATGAGAAACAGAAAGCCAAACCGATTTCAGGGAAGAGCACTAGGTGAGAACAGTGAGAATAAACTGGAGGAGTCAAGAAATTCCGTTCTGTAAGACTTCAGTAATGAAATGATCAATTTTCTAATTCAAATGTATAGTGACTGCACACATCAGAATTATGAATACAGTTCTAAACATTGTCTAGGATGACATATAAGCTTTAATGAATTATCTCAAAATTTTGATCAGGGTTTTTACAGAAAATCGGAAAACTTTCTATGTTTTAATTCATGGGGTAAGTGAGGGAAGACATGCACGTTATACTGCTTATAACAACAATAACTTAGAACTTTTTCAAAATATCCTTATTCTTTAACTGAACAATAACTAGTGCCCTTTGTTTGCAGCAGACTGAATTCTATCAGTCAAGTTTACAATATGGCCGCCATTCTAGGTCGTTGTCCATCACGGTGCATTGTGTCCTACCAGATATCTAATACGGTCCTACAGGTGGTCCGTAGCGAGCCCGAATAGTTCAGTGGCAATGTCTCTGACTGCTGTACTGGGTGACGTGGCTTCGAATCTCAGAGTTTTATTTCTTTCCTGCAGATTGCTTCCAGCCGTCCAATACCAAGAATATCTTTATTCTACTAAACAGAGATTCTACAATAGGCTTAAGTTTCGATCCTTTTGACCCGAAATGCAATACCTTATGATCAAATACTTCCAATCTTCTTATTCCCACTGATGACAACTGAGTAAGTGTAGTAGTTTTCGTATCTAAGCCATATGTATATAGCATAGTCATCAGTTAAACAACAGATTGATTCGACCTCAGCTAAGTCCTATTAATGCACTCCCCTTCTTTCGATATAGATAAGGATAATAGGCCAGTGAGCTGAATAAATTCTACAAGTCACGTCAACAGTGCTATCAAACAGTAAGAATAGTATTGAATACAATTAGATTGTTCATTATAAATAGAAGATAACTGTGAGATTCGTGAAGAAGACGTGAATATGACCACTAAAAGACAGATATTTCTTAGTCAAAGTCTTGTTAGAAGTGTTAATAGAGACTCATTTAAAGCAAATGTAAACCCTTTTATCCAGTGATTATATCTATCACTGACTGAATTCTATTCTATCAGATCGAATTATGAATATTTAGTCAAATGAGTAGTAACATCGAGGTCGACTGCTTTAAGGAGATTGGCAAGAGGTCAACCGTACACAATAAAATAACATGAATTTGATTTTATCATTTAGCTGGCCATCTCATCCATCATGGTTTTTCTGTAAAATGCAAATATCTGTTATACCGTCGTCTACATGATACGGTTGTTGTTCATATGGTACAGGCTCAACATAACAGTAGCCAGATGATAAAACAATTCGATCGATCAGAAACCTTCATATCTACAGAGATTATAGATTTTTTACTTAGAGATGTAAAATGAAGGGAAGTCCATATGACTACAGTATTCCTCCTCGTACAGAATACTAAAAAAATGTATTGAGGAAAGATTGCGTGTAAGTAAACTGATAAGTCTGATAACCGACGATTTCATCGGCCTAAAAGACATAATTCAGATTTCTTGTAGCAAAGACATCCCTAATGGAAAATTTCACATTCAGTGATGTAATGTATTCTTAAAAATAAGATGAATGGTTAGCAAATGACTGTGACAATCAAATATCACTGCTGAAGTCTATCTGAGGAATCTAGTGATAAATATGATGGAGTGTTATCTTGTGGAGTCATCAAGTTCGCCCTGTTTTGTTAACAGCATATTACGGTAAGGAATATAATAAAGTGATGAGAAATAAAGCCTAATCAGAATCGTCAAGGAAATGCTAAGCTCTTAAAATCGATCTCATATAGCATTGAAAAGTTTGTCTCTTCTTCATCTTCATCCGTATGTTCAAAGACACAAACAAACACACAAACAATGTAAAGTATCAAAGTGAAAAGTAAACAAAAGTAGACTTAACCCGACCTCGAAAACAACAACAACATCAAACAACTGAAATGAGAAGCAATAGGATGAGAAAAGAGCCTTATCAAATCCTATACATATACATATATATATATGTAAATGGAGCTCAGAGAAGGCAAGAAAAATAAGAAGTTATAAGTAGATGAAAAAATTCAACATATCTATGACTCTTTTATTCAGTGTCCTGACTTATTTGATTATAATGTCATAAGACTCTGGAGAATTAGTTATCCGTTCGTGCTTTTTGTTTTATTTTTTGTTTCGAATTATTTCCCGATGTATTTTTCTGTCTTCTCCATATCTGAGACCTGTTTCTGCTTCTATTACCCTGTGGAAATATCTCGTTTTTAGTTAGCCGTGTTGCCCAGCTTATCACAGCTTCTTCCTTACAACAATCAATACAAATTTGTATGTGTGTTGATAGAAACGGCTACGTATCTTTTGTTTGTTTATCCTGTGCATAAATGTGTGTATAAGTTTTATTGAAAGAATTCAAAAGATAAAAGTGATAATGTGTAGTTATTTCTTTTATCACTTCCTTTTTGAATTATTTCAGAGGATAGGAAACTATTTTTGTTGACATATATTCATGCAATATAATGATAATTATTAGTATTATAATTCCCTTGAGTGTACACAGAATATTCACGTTTGCATAAACAAAACAAATCTGACTGACTGCTGAAACTTGTCACATCAATAGGCCTGCATTGAGAACCAAGAGAGACAAAATCTAAGTTGACTGGCTTCTGCCCCCTCAATTGGAACTGATTTAACTAAGAGCTAAAATTTCTGTGGTCAGTCCTAAAGAAGTAAAACGACGGTTGCTAAATGTTTGACGTTTTTGGAAGTTATGCCACTATCTCCGAGCTGTGATATCTGATCATGGAACTTTAGTGATGTTTTCAGCACTCACTTCAGTAAGATGTCCATGATAAAATATAAAATGTGGGAGATCACTAGACCAATTCCAACCCTCACCTCGCGCTACACACCTTTTCTATTATTTCCTGTTTGGGTTTTCGTCTCTCAAAGTGTACTGAGTTGAGATTTCACCATTAAACCTCATTCGTCTGTTTAAAACGCATTTTGGTGACAGGAGAAGATTCTAAGTGAGCATCTTTCCTCCAGCACTTGACACACAAACACTGTTGTCTGAGAAAAGATCCGTGTATTTTTAACTTATTAATTATAAAGGTTGACAATAAAGTGTACCTTGTTACTATGTTACTGACCCGTAAGAATATAAAAGTTGTTGGAGGTAGGTGCGTTAGGCGAAACTGACAGTTGTGACTTTTTTCGTACCTCAACTTGTCTCAAACAAAAGCCAAGTATTTATAATGCAGCATGTAATGTGAATGTGGTCACAAAAATTTTAATAGTTTAGTGATTATGTCCAGTCCTCTGAGTCAATCTAGAAATCACCTTCAGAGTAGGCATTGCAAACAGTGAAGTTAGAAAGCCGTTTAAGAGCACTTGTGATGACGGAAACTGTAAGATTTACCAAATTTGTTGCTTAATGTGGAATACTGACTTGAAATTAGTATTTCACATGCCATCAAAGGAAGGTTTTAATATTTATTGCACTAAGGGCAGTCAGGCAAACAGACGCACATTTAAGCGTATGCATAAGTTGAGCAGTGGCAATCAAAGCTAAAAGTAATGATCAGTGACTTAAATATATCGACTTTTATCAACAGGTTAGTAGAGTTGGAAGAAGAGGAATCAGCTACTTCTTTACCATCCACTTTAGAGGAAACAATTTCTAAAAATCCTCATGATATTTTAAGAAAATATTATCGAAAATTGAGAATTTTGGCGATATTTGCACTTTTGAAAGCTCAAGGAATGGAAACCCGATATGCGATTATATCTTCTATATGGTTAGGAAGAAAACACCCTTTTCAGCTTACTTCTGTCAAAATGGTGTTACATCCAAAGATCAGTTTTGTAGTTATGTGGCTTTTCGCGCGATATATTTAAGTATTGAATTTTATTATCAGAAAAAATTGAATTTTTCGGCATTATAGTTATACGATAAAGCTATCATTATTCCCTTCTTTATTAAATCTATGGCTATCATTGTTTTCCGATGTTCCGAGTAAATCTCAATAAGAAAAATCTAATTTACCATAACATAAAGTGGAATGAAACAATTTTCCAATCTCACTGATTTTTCGTAGCTTATATTTGTTTAAACTAATAAGATATGTTCCAAATTAGTTGGGTTTTCTCTTTAATTGAATTCTTAACAAATCCTTAGTTGCCATGGTACTAACATTTTATTATACATAATTCAGCTAATGAAGGGAATTAAATGAATTAAGGGTTCTCTATATTTTAAAAAATGTTCATTTCCAAAGAAAACTAAAAACACCGCTTTCTCAGAGCTGGCATCACATCTTAACCAAATATTCATTGGTGTATCTGAGGAGGATTTTGTGGAAGTGTTTATTGACCCTAAGAGGATGTTTTCTGCAGGTGTTTTAGTTTGCTTTGTCGCCTTGACTAAATAAATAAATCACTTTGCCGCCACAATTACTTTAACTTTTTGTCGTAAATCCGTATATGATTTTTTAGTGACTAAATGTTTTGTCCTCAGATTCATTATTGACGGTTACTTATTAGTAAGTTCAGAGTTCAATAAAGAATTATTTACAAAAAAACTTAAATGATTTTTACTAGTCTCACTGAGGCTTAAATGAAATCAGTTAGTCTTAGAGAACATTTGGTCGAAATTTTCTGTCATTGTTCATATAATTTAAAATTATAAAACCTATTTTTAAATCTGCTGTGAAAAAAATACGTGTTTGATATTTTACATAAATGCAGTAGACTTACCAGTTATGGCATGAATATCTGGAATACGCTGTGCTGATAAATCCACTAATTGTATAATATCTTTAATTGCTTTAGCATCTTCATGAACTAATGCTTTCAGCGTCGACTTCGTAACACGGTTAAACAATTCACGTACTTGTAATTTCATCCATACAGAACCGGCTAGGCGATAAACACCAACAACATCTGAGCCACGTTTGTCAATTTCCTCGACACACTTTCTTATAAATAATGGAATAAACATATAATCTGTCGTATTTTGGTAAGTTAGTTGTTTCGGTGAGTAGTATTCAGTAATCTGACAGATAACACGTTCACGTTCAATCAGTTCATCGATAGATACACCGAAGAGCAAACGATCAACACTTGTTGAGTTTAACGTGGCAGTGCTCAGTAAGTGTTGGTTACGATGAAATATTTTATCCAGTGGTATATGTCCAAGCTCTAAGTATAGCACACCTCTTGGCTCAAGCTGCAAAGCAATTTTATGTAAGTTTTTAGATACAATAGAAATAGAAGGACTCAGAATAACGTCACTTGTTGGTGTATACGACGTAGACGGTGTACTATTCGATGACGTTAACTTACTAAGTAGGTTTTTTAAATCAATTCCACCATAGAAACATAATCGATGTTTAGTACGTGGATCCCACTGGTAGAGTAAAATAGCCAAAAATCTATTGTCCTCCATATCAAGTTCAAAGACTTCGTTCCATTCAAAATAGCTTGTGCTAGTGCGGATCATTGAGCGAGCTTTACGCACTGAATCCATTTCAATGACACAATAAAGATCTCTGACTATAATGTGAGTAGAATTCAGGCCCTTCCCAGCAATAACATGTAGTATAAATAATCCATTCAAATTATTTGATTTAAGTGAACGATCAATATTTTGTAAGTTCATTGTTCTTGCCGGTGTATTGCAAGTATCCCATTCATATACAGACGACTGTGTGGGATAATTTTGAGCCTGAGTAGCTGACAAACAACGTTCACTGGGTAAAGTGAGGAAGTCACCAAAACGATCAGATAATACTTTTGTAGTCCCCAAAAGTTGTGAGTCGATATTAGAGTAGGCTGTCTCTAAATCAGTTTGACAAGAAAGACTGTTTAATGCTGTGGAAGTACGAGCGCTTCCAAGTAATTGTCCAGGAGCTTTAGAAGACAGGTACATGGATTCATTCGGATAGGACGACCTAGTCCCAGCAGGATCTGTAGAATAAAAATGAACAAAGTTGCAGTTATTTTAAAAGCAAAGAGGAAAATTTCAGCAGTAAAAATGCTTACCATTTGCCTGTGTAATTCGAGTGGATAAATGTTTAGCTTAGTTGACCACTGAATTCTTCATGCACATTGAGACAAGAGGTTAATGATACTGATATTCAACTTCTGACTAAATACTAGAAAATAATGCGTAAAAAGTTTCAGGGTGAATACCATATAAGTAAAAGTTTTCAGTGAATTTTAGTCTACTCAATTTTCGTGATTATTGAAACTTATCAGCATAACACTTCACCAGCTTCGATGGAGCGAATAAATAGTCAAGAGGGAAAAGTATTAGCAAACCTGAAGAATTTCAGATGTTTTAAAGTCATTCGCGATGTGGATTTGTAAATAGCTATTGTAAGTCAAACTTTTCGAAACAAAATACCAAATGTGTGTTGAAGTTTAGGTCAACATTCATTCCACATGATCGTCGTTTTAATCATGTTTAATTATATCGGCGCTACCACTGAAAGTAAACGACGTGCGGCTAAGTCATTCAGAAGACATAGGATTATGAGTGAACTAGTATTTGGATACATTTATTCTAATATGTTTGAATAGCACAGTAAAGTGTCGTCTACCTTCAGTCCAATGAGATTTATTTCAACGAAGTTAACTACAAAAAACTTTCACTTGTTTTCTTACCACAGCATAGAAACATACAGATGCATACATGAATCATTTGTAAAACCATAGTGCACTATCAGCAGTCCATTTTACAGCTTCAAAAATACTTCTATGATGAAACCCTCCTTCCACTGAAATGTATGTATGCATTTATTTCTTTACTATAGATGTCTAACGGCATAAGATGAGTTACTAGCTTATGCAAATAAATTAGGATAAGTATGTCCGAAATCTAGTTCACTAGTAGCTCTTCGTGTTCGCCTGAAATTAACTGACATGTTACTATGCCGTTTAAATACATTAGAATGAATGTGTCCGAATACTAGTTCGCTGATAATCCCGTATTTCGAATTATTTAGCAACATGGCGTTCACAGTCAGTCTCTATGTCTGAACAGCTAAGTAACATGCCTTATTCCTTTGGACCAGCCTTTCTTCAACTGACGCACTTATCTCAATTGTTCGGCCGCTAAAAATGAGCTGTTGGTGGGTTAGCTAAGCAACACAACAGTTTACAGTTACTTATTCCCCAGGTAATTTTTAACAAACAGTTTAAATGGAAGAAAAAATAATGTACTCGTTTGAATAAATTCAATTTTGAACTATTATTGCTAATTCAAAAAGAAGGAAAGACAATTCAAGTTGTTTCACTTAAGTAACAATCAACTGGTTCAAGGGAAAAAAGTGTACAAAAATAGGCTGAACAATTTACTGTCTATTCCTTTTTCTGTTTTTCAGAAGTCCTACAAAGCGTAAAAAAGAAGCTTCCGCGTCAGGAGAACAATAATTATGAAGAGAATAGAGAAAAGTAATTCGCACACACGGAGAAAAAGTACAACATTCATCCATCATTTCATCATTATTGATCAGTGATCAAGAAGGTAAGCATACAGTGGAACAGTAAGGAAATCAATAAACGCGAAGTAAGAGGAGGCATACTTCACTTCAAGCAAGACAACTGAGAGAAGGAAAGGAGGCTTGTGGGTGAATGAATGAATGGAAGAATAAACGCTCACAACACTAATCTCTAAACAGACAGTCCAGTTTTATTCACTAGGTAGCCGATAACCACAGCAAATAGACAAAAATAAATGAATGCAGTTATTTTTCATTCGGTATTCCATACAAACGTACATACACACGCACACAACACACAAAAAATCGTTAGATCGTCACTATCGTTTAGATGAACGAACAAATAAATTTGTGCACAAACACACCCTGTCAAAACACAATTCATGGGGCAGTAAAATATTTATTTATTGCAGTCTTTTAATTTGATTTATTTTTGCAATAAGTAACGTATTTCTACAGTACTCTACTCGAATTTCAATCATTGATACATCTCACAATATTTATGCCCTTTCCTACTCTTCCTAAATAAATTCCTAGAATACATTTTGTTTTATTGAATCCCTTAGTAGTTGCTGACCTGTTATTAGCTTCAGATGTATAATTCTGTGATGAGTTTTGATGATGTATTTTAAGATATTGAGCCTGATTTGTCCATGATCACTGAGGAAATCTGATCCACTGTGATATTATTTAGACAATGTATTAATGCCTAGTTCTCAAAAAGGAGGAAAACAGCCACACAATAAATGTCTTGTTTTTCGCATTTCTTTGTTAGTCTGTCGTGAAAAATGTGGTCGAGTGGGTCTCTCTATGGCCAATCAGTTAGTTATGCTTAAATCATTATGTTACGGTAAATCATTCTGACCATCAACTTCTCAATATTTCTAAATGAAAATGAAAACCGATACTTGACAATTAATCTGATTCTCACTAGCAACTGGCCCTATTCAGGAAATTAACCTGGGGTTCAAGTGGGAAGTCGTGACCAGTAGGATGTAGCAGGTCGGAAGTGAGGCAGTAACTCATCGAAGAAGACATTGCGCTGTGTCATGAATTGGCAGAAGTTAGATTTCATGGACTGGCCATTGCATTGAGTCTCAGCGGCTTAATCGTCTACGAGCTAGCTCGCCTTGTAACCAGAAGGTCCTGGGTTCGAACCAGGGTGGTGGGTGTGTACTGATGAAGAGTCCCAAAAAACTAGGGCGAAACAGCTGTCCAGTACTCCCAGGTTTTCCAATGGTTCTCTAACTGATGTCAGCTCATGATGAAATCCTCCAACCAGTCAAACAAAATCCCTACAAAACCAATACTTGAAAATGAGTTTGATAAATTAATTTTGCCTGTAGGTATCCCTGAAAATGAAGACGAAAGTTGTAAAAGTGAAATGAGATAAATCCAATGCACTTAAAATTTTCAAACGGTGAAAAACACTTTCACTTCCTGATGTAGGTGTTCAAATCAAATCTCTAACCTGAATGTTTTGATGAAAAAAACCTGCATATCGTCAACCTGGGAATCCTTATCTGTGCATTGTTATTGTAAATGACAGGTTTTATCAATGTTTTGTCGTCTTGATAAAATATCGATGGATTTTTAAGTAGTCAGAAAAGAAATACTAAGGAACATTTTGTCGGTGGATTTTCAAAGAATTCATTGGTTTCAAAATAATTGTTTCCTGAAGCCAAAATTATCTACAGAATTATTGAAAATCACAAAGCACTAGGTAGTGACCTCAAAAATCTCAAAATGGAACAAAACAGATAACAAATACTCAGTGGTTTTCGGGGTTTCTTGCATCTCTGTTTTATGCATTGCTAGCGGCACGCATATACTTGCGAACAGATAAATTGTAAAAATGCAATGAGTGTCAGTCATTGTTTACTTAGCACCATTTGATTTTTTCTAAGCGCATAACAATTTCACCATTGTGATGTGAGAGGTGGATAGAGTTTATTTGACTTATAACAACTGATTATTTATCAATAACATACGACGTCATTTCAGAAATCTAGTGTTTGTTATACTGTGGTAAGGGTTTATTTAGTATCTCCTAACCTAAATCAAAGCCCATTCAACAAATTAAAACTCTGAACAGCTTAAAGAAAGTTATACGTACCTGACTTATAATATGTAATAGAGTGCAGGTTTACAGGATGTGACTGTCAATGTGTGAAACAATCATCAGTTATGAAACTCTTTTGAAAAATTGTATGCATTCCAAGGTTGGGTCAGTTCAATTTACAATGAGTTAAATCATGAGAAAACTTATGTAATATGGCTAAATTTATTTACTAAATGCAAAACAGGAAAGTTATAGTATGATCATTCTAGTAAATCAAGTTAAGAGCGAGATATCAACAGTCACTCAACCAACCAAATTATCGTATATCATATTGAGAAATCTACATAAAATAAAGAGCTATAAGACCATTGTTTACGAAAATTTGTCCCATAAATGAGATGAGGATTGTAAATAAGTGTGATGGTAAGATTTAAGCGAAATTAAGAAGTTATATTTCCCCTAGTCTTAAATGAGAAACCTAATTTGACTTACTCAACTCAAAAGAAAACTTTATACTTCGTTAAAATGCTTCAGGTCAACAAACGCAAACATTACAGTTAAGTGTCGTATAGTATTCTTACTATCCTAGACACCTTTTCAACCTGATGCTTCCTTGGTTTAAATCTTAGTTTTAAGTAGACGAAGACCCAGGACAGTAACACATTCTGGCAAACAAAGCATAATAAACGCCTAGTTTGACTCATCTTGTTTGAAACCGTCACACAAAGTGTAGATTATGCAAGAAGTGATCAGTCAATAAAAATGCAAAAACGTTTCAAATTCTCAACGTTCATTGTTAACATGAATTCAAAATCTGTCTGTGTAACAGTCAAACAACCACTAGCTGTCTGCAAGTTGATATAAGTATAAGTATAAAACTTGGGCACTGTGGTAGAGTATAAATCGATTATAGATAAGATTTTATTTTGGTAAATCACGCAGTGTTGTACAGTAATATTTACTGGTGACGTTTCGAGCATAAACCATCACTCATAATCATATCAAAGTACTCATACAACTTTCTTGCTTCATTTATTTACACAAATCACCACCTATCTTCTGTTTATTACACTTAGTAAATTATTAATACGACCTTTAAGCGGAGATAATTCTGGAACTTTCTCGCATTTGTAATTTTAATACACGAATGTACAGCCTAGTTGATGACTTCGTACAAAAAAATTTTCTTCTCTGTAACCGTCTTTTTAATAATTCCCATGCTTCATAATTCTAATCTTATTAATCACTTATGGATATCATTCACAATTTCCAATAGTTCTACTCAACACTATATTTGATATCAAGTAGGTCAAATTGTATAGCATGAAATTTTTAATTAGAACCAATCGCCCAGCAAATATGTAGGAGAAAGTGGAGATGGATTGGACACTCGCTGAGGAGGC